AAGGAAAGAGATGGACATTACCTTGGTCTCTAAGATATTTGACATGCTTTCCTTGCCCCACTGCAAAGTTGGAAATGGGCAAATTCATCCATTATGCAGCTGGCAATGTTTTTTTCCTATTAACCCCAAACTCTTTGGAACAAAAGCAGCAGAAAATTTTCTCTGCTACCTCTTGGCAATCCTACTGGATTAAACTATTCCTGAAGACAGAAACACAGGTCTATTTAGACAGTAAGTCTTGAACATTTTAAGACAAAATGACACTTGCCTTTTTGTCAATCTGTTTCTCAGTGCACTTTACATAGGTGCTTCGTATTTCCTCATAAAAGAGGAAAGCAGACACTGAGAGGCTGAGTCCAGTTGCTATGGAAATGTAAACAGTTAAAAGGGATTTGCATCCAGTTAAATAGCCAGCTCATTTCCACGTGAACGAACACTATCCTTTGACAGAGTAGCATTTGATATTTTTGTGATTGTTTTCCAGTTTGGGGGTTTCATCAATGTCATGCTTGCTTTCATCTCCAACTCCAGATGGTTCAAGGACAGGGAGACCAGTAGAAGCGAACGAGCAATGGTGGTTGGGCCCAACATGTGTTTGTTTCTGCAAACTCAGACACACCTAAGTTGTTCAAATTCCACAGGGGAGCTCTTCCAATTCTGTGGATCCTGACACCAGGCTTAAGAAGGGCACAGGCTTAGTCCCTGCAATACCACTAGGCTGACAGTGGTCAGAGCTGTGTCAGAGGAACAGCACAGAACGTCATTTTGCTTAAGGGAGATTTTGGAGGGGATATTTGGGATTTATGGTCAGAAGAGCATGGTATGGAAGGAGTCTCTGATGGTTTTCCTCAGCCAGCCAGAAGCAGCCTGGTACAGCTGTGCTCTTCAGCTACTGGGAAGACAGACTCAGTCTTCTTCCAGAAAGATGGAGTGGCTTGGTCTGAGGAAGACTCCCACTGGTAGGCAAAGATCTCCCTCATTACCTCAGGCATGCCCAGAGGTAGAGCACAGCTCCAAACTTCCATGCCGTCTACCACAGCACACAAGAACAAGGTGGTACAAGACACCAAAATTAAAACAATGCAAAAAGCTGATGCTTCCCTTGGTCATTCACCTAGGGTCATACACCTGGAACGTCAACCAGTTTACTATGACTTAATCCCTGTGACCCTTTCCACTAAATCACAGGAGCATGCAGAATATCCCATCCCCCACCCTTTCTTACAACCTCCCACTCTTCCTTAAGACCCTGCATCTCAGCAAGTATGCTTTTGGAAAAGGGTCCAATGCTCTGCAAAACCCATTAATGCCATTTCTTAAATTTTAGAGACTTGTCTCTAGTATATTAGAACACATCTCTTTCTTGTGGGGCACAGAGCACGCTATGTTCAGCACAATCCTAATTCTCTTGACAAGAAATCAGAAGTGTAAGACTTGAGTTTTCCAGTGCAGAAGGTGCATGCACATAGAGGAGTGAGGGGAAGTGTTCACACAGGCTCAATCATTTAATGCAACCAGCTAGTCTCCCTCCGTATAGAGCGAAAAGCCACCTCTGGAGTATGGAATAGCTTTTCTCTACACTCCTTTAACTATAAAAGAAAAGGTTGCCATGTTCATGTAACACATGCTCTAACAGGTGCCCAAATTACTATTGTAATGAATGAAAAAACAGGATAAATGCACATTATTAATAAAAAATTCTTATTAAGTTGGTGCAGAATACAGAGCAGCATTTGAGGTAATTTTTGAGAAACAGTGTGCAATTTCCACTTTAAAAGGATGCTGAAACATCATGCTCCACCCCAGAGCTAAAGCAATACATGAAGTGTGGAAGACATACCTTGCAGCAAGAGACCAAACAACTCAATCTGTTTTCTTTAAGAATTAACAGGTACTTACATGGGAGAGAGGTTAGTAAAAGTAAGCAGTTTATGTTTCGCAAACAAAGCAGTAGTTTCAAGAGCTTGAAACCAGACAAATCCAAACTAGAAATTAGGTATGCAGTTTTAGGAATGCATGTAATCAAAAGCTAAAACAACTTACCTGGGTCTTCCAGAAATTCAGTATCATTTAGATTGGGTCCTCCCAACAGAAAAATAATTCTATGACTCAGAGGATAGCGGCTTGATAAATCTTACACTGTGATTTCTACTGCAGTTTCATTTATACACAAAGTCTGACATTGTGGTCATAATGACTTTGGGCTTTTATCAATCTATAGTAAAAAGTGTGAAAACAAGTGTCACGTCATTTATAAGTGTTGACTGTATTGTGTTGTTTTATCTTTCGACAAACACAAACAGGGAAAACAGACTGAAGTGTACTTGACCTAAGTGAATTGTGCAGTACATGTGCTTAGTACAGATGTACAGAAGGTCCCGTGTTATCTGAAAAAGGCAACGGCCAAGGTCACTGCAGTGTGAGAATGTGAGAAAATTTTGGTTAAATCAGAATGTTTGGGATGCTTGCTAGAATTGTTCTTGGTTAATGGAGTGCATGGTTAGGATGTTGCAAAGTATCATGACAGCAAAATTACTGATACAAGCTTAACAGAGTAATACGTGTAGCTAACAAGAATTATACTTAACCTATCAATCAATGTGGCTATGAAATGCTAAAAAATTAAATTAGTAACATTCCATTTTATTAAAGGGTTTGGCTCTTCAGAGCTTTTCCACAAGTGATATTTCTAGATCCCATGTCACCCTGCGCAAGGCTGCAATGAAATAAAGTAATTGCTTTCATTTTCAAAATAAAGAAGACAACCCTATCTCTTGGCATCTGCTTAAATAAAACCAATTTGCTGTACTAATCTTACTTTAACAGATCAGAAATGAACGTACCAAAGATAAGCCAAATAAACAGTTTCTATTTAATCTCAGTCTAATTTGCCTGTCAATGGGAAGTCTACTATACAAGCCAAGACAGAAAGTAGCCTGAAGCATTAATTTATTTTGTGTCAACAAAAGGAAGGCTTATCTCCACAAATTTGCTGCCAATTTTTTGTCTCTTCAAAATAAAAATGCACTCCTTGCTCGCAGGAGGAGCACAAGTACCTGAAGAAGGATGCATGGAATACTTGCACCAAATCTTGCTCTGCTTCTGTGTTTCAGAGAACAAGTCTTATGAAAATAGGATCTGATGAGATCTCACAGAGACGAGAACAGAAACACTAACTTAGATCTTATGTACTTTAAGCAGGAAACAGTCCGTTAGCTTCAGCCAGCATTTCCCTGCTCTGATGCATATATATGCAAACACACAGCTGATCTGATGTATTTCACTCAGCTGTAGTAACAACAGATAATATTTACTATTGATTATTTGCTTTTGCCACCTCTCCAACTTCTTGCTGTGCAGCTTTTAAATAGCTTCCAAACTCCCTCTATGCTGCACTCCAAAAAAGGACAAAACAAAGACAATGTACCAAGTTAGCTCTTCCACACATCTATAGCAGGGATGCTGAAAAACTGCCCAAAAGGCTAAACTTGTCACAAAGCTTAGTTTAATTTGACAATCATCATAAGGCATCCATGTAAATTAAAAATTTCCACCAGGGTCACATATATTCTCCCACAACATAAAACGTGTTAAAACGGAGGGCTAGGATTCCAAAAGATGCTAGTGGTTACTGGTCTTGGCCAGGCTGCTGCTGCTGGCAGTGGGGTCCAGGAGACACAGCACCAACAGCGGCAACTCAGGAAGCGGGAAGTCAGCTTGCACAAATCTCTTTCAGTAGAACAACTAATAGAAAGGAAAGAGATTTGTACGGAAAACCTCATTCTCCATCCTTTCTGGGAAAACAAAACAGAACGAAAAAGATAATCCCATTCAAGGAGCAAAGAGCAGAGCTTGGAGTTCTGAAGCCCAACAATGCTGATGGCCCATTTTGAAAACTAATGAAGCACTACAGAGGCCTGAGTTTATTATTGCTTTATCCCAGTTCAGCCCAGGCTAAGGCTACGGTGAAGTCCAAATTAATTTAAAGCCAGAAAATGCAGATCCAGTAACAGCACCTAAGTCCCCATCCACACATGGGTGTAAACAGATACTTTTGGTGAAAAAAAAAAAAATCTCCCAAATTTCCCCTCTTTCTGTGCTATGTAGATCCCCATAGCAGGGCTAAAATTTGCCCCAAAGTATATAAAAGTTTCTCTCTCACATCTCCTTTAGCTGAGCCTCTTACAAATGTTTCATCTTTTATTCAAACTAGTCCTCTATCCTGGTGATACATCAGCTCAGAGATGCTTTGTGGGAGCTCACTGAGAGGCACACAGGTACCCACATGTTAAGAAGAATGTGGCACAGAGTCTAAGAACCATCACCTGTACTCTGTAATACCCAATGGTGCTTTGCCTTCAGCTTCCTGAGACCAAATGGCACAGATGGAAGAGAGAGTCACCCCATCTTGCATGCCTGGCCAGTGATCAAGAGAAATAGCAGGCTGTGTAAATGAAATGGCATCTTACCACCACCATAAGTCAGAAAACAGACTCAGGTAAAGCTGGGCTTAAAAGTTTCACATCAAGAAAGAGGGTGCTTCCCTCAGACTATCGTATGACAGGACAACTGTTATTCAGGCAAACATTATTCAAGGCAGTAAAATTTTAGCATGGGTATCTCCATGGTTGACTTACAGGCCAAACATATGCTAGGGATCTTTAAAAAAATTAAATTAAAGGTCCTGTTAATTCTTCCAAAAGGACAGAATAGAAGACACACAGTGCATCTAACAAACACACGTGCTACACATCCTAACACACTAACAAAGGCTGCAGCTAGACTTGTCAAAACAGTTAAAAAGATTTAGGCATCCAGCTAGTACCAGAATTGATGGCATTTGGGCACCTAAATTTAACTTTTTTGAAAATTCGAGCCTACACATTTCTTTATTGCTTGTCCCATTGAGTGCAAAGGGAAAACTGAGGGTAGGGTTAACTACAGAAGGATTTCAAATCCATCATAAGGTTTCCCTGTTCTTTTATATATATATTTATATATATAAAAAGCATTATTATTATTTAGCCACCTGGGGGCAGGGGGGAACAGGAGCTATTTAAAATTAGTTTCTTAATTACTTAAGCATTAGTCCCCTACCTCCCAAATCACAATACCTCTGTCACAGTAAGGAGCATAACATGAAAACCTGTTTGCTGCCACTGACAATTCCTGAGTCACTCCTTTGCAGAACTTCAGCCCAAATATCAGGATAATGGCAGCTTGACACATATACACTCCCCAGCAACGTACACACAGCAAGTAGGACATGCCTCAGTGGCCTCAGACAAAAAGAGGGAAAAAAAAAAAGAAAAGAGGGAAAAAAAAAAAGAAAAGAAAAAAACCAAAACAAACCATCAACCAACAAACTTGGAGAAACCATGCAGAAGAGCCTCAGGAAAGGGAACTACCCACTTTCCATGGAGAAGCAACTGCCCAGGAGTCCCCGCCCAGTATAAACTGAATCAAAATATCCATCCTACAGCTGAAGGAGATCTCTGAAATCTGGCAGTGTCACACGCTGGATACTTGAAGGCACATTTGCTTTGTGTTTTGGGAGAGAAATCCAGTTACAACAACACACTGCAGCTGCAGGGCTGAGGGCAAGGAGGCAACACTTGGTATCCTTCCTCTGTTCCTGTCCCCATTTTCAAGCTTCATGGCTGGCATGAGCTGGTGATCTAAGCAGACACATTAACATCCCTGAGTGAAATGGCACCATTTGTGGCCTCTGAGACTTTGTCCTCAAGCACCATTGCTGGTGTGTCTGTAGTGACTGCTGTAGTGTCTATGGCAGGAAGTGGATTCAAGCCCTGTGATAAGATCTGTTGGATGGTTTTCCGCAAATTGGGGTGCAGCTGGTTTTGGGTCTGGTAAAAAATTTCTAAGGCAAAAGACTTGAGGGTGCCAGTGCAAAGGTCCTCATAAAGTGGAATTGTGTACATCCGAGACATCTGCAAAAAAGGAAAACTGGATAATATCAGTTCAATAAAAGTCAAGAAGTTCAGCTCTTCTACAGCTACACTCCAACAGCCTTGAATGACTTCAGACTGGAGACAAGCAATACATTTCTTCAAAAGACATCTGAGTCTATTCTAAATAAGCTTAATGCAAAGAATTTTATGAATGATAATAAAAAAGCATTTGCTCTCTAAGACTGAGCTAATTCCACAAATAACAGAACTATTTTTAAAAGGGAGGAGGCCACAGCGAACACATGCATTAACCTTTTGCTCCTGCACAATAAAAACTACTGAAAGGAATTCAATGAGCCCTAGCCTTGTTTGAAGTGCAAATATTCAAACAATCACATGATTTAGTAGTGTGAAAATTTCTGGTCTCGAAAAGCCAGGGCTGCTACAAAGCAACACAAAAAACACACTGGGCAGAGCTGGGACAAGGGTATTGAGTTAGGCTTAGAAAAGCAGAGATTATCTGTAGGCACTTCAAATTACATCTGCCCATTCCTCCCCACCCGCTAGCAGGTGAGCCATGCTCAGCCCCTTCGCAACACACCTGGTCTACACTTGGCCAGGAAGCAGAAGTTCCAAGGTCTTTCACGTCGCATGTCTCATGCACATGTCTCATGCACTGAGAGGTGCAGTGATTTTAATCCAGCAGTTAGTACCTGGTTTTCCAAGAAGCGACGGACTTTGTAAAGGTCTGGATAATAGTCATTTCGGACTACAATCTGCAACCAGCGGATACGGATTTCTGCATTCATGGAGTCCAGCTGAGAGGAGTAACATTCCGAAAGCTTTTTTATCACCTCTGAAGAGAGCACATACACAAAGAACTATGACCTATTTTGTCGAGTTTGAGGGTCATCAGAGATTAACGAATCATAAAATCACAAAATCATACAATGCTTTGAGTTGGAAAGGACTTTTGAAGATCATCTAGTTCAAACCCCTTGCCATGGGCAGGTACATTTTTCACTAGATCAGGTTGCTCAAAGCCCCATCCAACCTGACTTTATGTTAATGATAAGGTCAACAAGGGGTAGGGCTCTTTAGAAATCAATTATTTATTCCAGGAATACTTTTCTACAATCCTGACAGAGTACTCACCATGTGGCAGCGGTGACCCATCCAGCAATCTGTCCAAGAAAAGCACGGTTTGGAACGTTCTCCATTTAGTGAGGTCAACACTGCTGGCAGCAGCAACAGAGTCCAGAGGCTCTGTGGTCCAGAGTTTGAAGAGCATCTCCACTGGTCTGGTCAGACTGGATCCCTGAGATAAGTCTGGCTCAGCTAACGGAGGTCCTGTAGCATTGAGCCAACGTTCAAACTCCAGTCCTGGAATGAGGAGCACCAAAAATGTCGAGCGGGAGTCTCTGCAGGTGGCTTGGCTGCCTCAAGGTTCAGGACTGCTTCTAGCACAGTTAAAAGAGGTTCTAACAATAGCAAATCAGACCAACCTATAGTTACAGCGACATAACCCCTCCAAATTTAACCATGAGTTTTCTGGAGCTCAACATTACAGTAAATACAAAAAACACACATGCTCTTAAGGCAGCCAGGCTAACAAGTATCTATGGTCAAACTGTTCTAATATAAGATTTTTTTGTGTGTGTGCATTTCTCTTTCTCAGAATTTTGAGGAAGACTGAAGAATATGGGGAAAACACGCTTCATAAAAAAAAAAGTGAGAGGGCTGACTAAACTCCTCCTACACACCAGCAAAACCAAGCAATTTATTTATTCAATCAATAACTTAAAAAAAAGAAGTTTCTCCACAAGCGGCAGAGCTAGCAGAGCCAGCAGAGCCTAGTTTCCAACAGAGCTCTTCCCCTTGACCCTCTACCACCTCAGCACTTTCCTAACCCTTGGCAATACTTCCCATTCCACACCATCTACCCTAAAACTCCTCTCTCCTGCATCCCCTGAGTATTAGCCAGGCAAAAGTTAGCACGTGCTGTGGTTAACTCATTAGCCAACCAGTGGGCCAAATAAAACATAGAACTACTGATCTCATGCTGCAGTTTTTCCCACAGTAGGCTTACTTATCCACATCTCTCCACAGGCAGTTTCCACAAAGCCTGTAGGAACCTAGTATCCTTAAGTACTCCACTGCCAGTCTGGTTTAAACTGACGGATGGGTTCAATAATTACTTGCAAGAATGGATACATGGCAGGATAACGTTAGTGTCATTCCTTTAAGCAAGTCGGCTAGTAGTAAGCACCTAGTAGATTACAGACCTTTCATAAATCCACCAACAGCTATAAATAGGGGATATAAGGGAGAGTGAAACATTATGGAAGAGATTTTATGTGCATGGATAGGTCCTTGGGAAAAGTCACAGTTCTCAAAGCATGTTTTCTGTAATTAAAATAGATGAAATTTCAAAGTGTGTTCACCTTTTCCTTGCATTTGAGCATGTGTAAATCTCACATGCACTGATCATTCTGTCTGCAGTGTGAAAGATGAGTTAATGAGAAAGTTAACTGAGGGCTACTCAGCTAATTAATGCCAAAATTGTCAGCGATTTAAGATATTCTCATTCCCCAACATGGAGGCAGTAACAATAAATCACCACAACCATTTCTATCATGAACATCTGGCTGTTGCCAAAGGGTTTTGTTCATCTTAGCATTTTCTTATGCATCCTCCAAGCCAAGCACAAAACTTATCATCCAGATTTTCTACAGTTAACTAAGTGAATTTCCTACCTGCTTTGCTCTCAACACATTGCTCTTTCAGCTCTGGAAAAAAATTCAGGAAAGAATCCAGAAGATCTTGAGCCACAACGCTGGTAAACTTGTACTTCTCAATGTAGGCCTGAAACAGTAAAAAGGATAAGTTATGATTAGGAGGGAGACAGCTTCTTTTCAATGTAGAACCACTGCATGCAATAAAAAAATAAAAATAAAAAAAGATGGAAGACTAAGAACAAATACTTGGAATGTTTCAAAAAAAAAAAAAAAAAAAAGCCACTACCCTCCCCCCCCCAAAAAAACCCCAACCAAAAAACCCAAGAAAAATATTCTCCCTCCTCCTCCCAGATGATAAAAGCACCATAACAAGAATAAAATTGGGTAGCTGCAAATACACTGGCAGCTAAGTACGGGGCGGGGCGGGGGGGGTTCTGATACAGATCAAAGATACATTAACATATCAAGGTCAGAAAGTCAGAATACAACTGGCCACTGTATTATTCACTGTTAGATTATGGACTAAAGTCATACTTAAAGAACTAAAGAGAAAGACGGAATGGGGGATGGATTGGAAGAGGAGATAAAAAACATGCATGCAGCAAAAAGAAAAAGCAATGGGTTTTGTCACTTTTCAAAAACAAGTCAATAGCTAACATAATTTTCTATAGGTTTTGCGAATGTGCTCCAAGGCACCAAACCTGCCCCAACATAGGAAACCATGCCCTTTGTCACACTGGCTAAAAAACCACAAGCTAATACTTTTCACTAGTGAATGAAGTCACATCGTTCCAGTCACAGACAATCTATACTGGAACAGCTTTCTAATTATTTGGAGCACAGAACAGGAGGTAACAAAAGTATACTATTACTCTGTATTTGGCACATTATAAGCTTAGAATCTGAGACGAAAGAAGAGCATGAGCACATTCACTTAAGAGAAATCTCATAGAAAGAATTATCTAGGTTGACAGACAGGCCCACACTATTCTTCCATCTCAGACACACTCATATTCAACTTTACCCCTATCAATTAGCCAGTGACAAAACCTGAAGGAAAAAAAAAAAAAGCAAAAAAAAAAGCAGCTCTAAATCTCAAAGGAAACACATGCTTATTCACACTCACTCTTAGGAAAGAGTCAAAGTGTCTTGGGTCACCACAGAGCTGGGACAGGTAGTAAACAAAGCAGTAGCCTTTCTCATAGGTGAAGAGGTTCATTAAATTACTAGGATTTACACCTGAAAGGAGAAGACAACAATGTTATAAGACACTCTAATGAGGACACCAATTTCCAACTCTTCCAAGCACACAGACCCCTTAGAGATCACTGAGTCGAGATGTAGTGACTTAAAATCAAAACAAGCCTATTGTCAGTACATTTAATTTACTGCAGTAAATTAAATGGAAGCAGTCCAAACACACAGACTGGGGGGGGGAATCAATCATTGTAAGCTAAATATTCATTCCCAATGGAACAAGTCACTTCAAATTAGAAGTCACTGAAAACACACCTGGAATTTGAAGACAAATCTTTTTTTTTTTTTTTCCCCAGCACCAAACTCAGGGAATCACCATACCATAAATTTTTAAATATATCAATGTAAGGTAATCACTATTTGTTCCTTTTTTGAGACTTCTAACACATGCTTTTCCATTCCATTTGGTTCCAATATCACCTCCACTTGCATTTTAGGTTGTTTTAAATATCATCTAGATTGAAGAATGCTTCACACCTCCAGTGGTGACCACAGAACTAGAGAACTATCAGTGAAGAAGATACACAATGCTGGAGTGCAGACGTGCATCTGGCTCAGGGGATAACCAACAGCCTCTGCATAGCTCACTCAACAGGAGAGCAAGTACTTATGTTTATCTATATGCTTATGCATACATACATAGCTCTTACATGAACACATAAAAGGAGGAACATTTAATAGCACAGGATTTTATATGATGTTTCCAAATATTTTCATTATAAACTGCTTTATTTTACATATTCAGAAGCTCAAAACCACACAGCTTTCAAGGCAGTTTTTCACACTCTGTTTCTACTCAGGGAGTCTGTTTTGTTCTTAAACAGAACAATATTTACAAAGATGAGTTAGCCAGCTTTGAAGAAAACTTCAAGGCAAGTTTCCTTATTTACTTTTAGACTGGTTTACAAACTAGTATTTCCTTTTTTCTTTCTTTTATAAGGGATATGTAAAAATTAGTCTTTTTGGCCTAAAAGCATTCCAGCATCGATATACAGAAATTTTGTGTACAGCAGCTTCAGCCAAAAGCAATACCTGGCTCCAGTTTAACCTGAAGCTTGCTGACTGGGTTGTCTTCTCCAAGGAGCTTCATCTGTCTGTGGAGGGCATCAAGGCGGAATGCAGTCTCCAAACATGTGAAGGCAGCTCCTAGCCCAGAAAGAAACTTATTAGTTGTGGGAAAGTGACTAGCAAAACCTGACCTGTGCAGAACTAGCACAGGTACAAAATAAAAGCTACTGAAGGTGTAAAAGACACAACAGCAAGACAGAATCACAGTAATGTAATGGTGGAGAAACTTGAGTGCAAAAAATCCTTGCAATTTGTAATGAAAGTCAGAACCTGAAACAGTGCATTTACTCACTCCAATTATGCAGCAGACTGAACCGAAAAACAAAGCAGCATGAAAACTATACTAAAGTTTACATCCTTGACATCATCTTATCAGTTATAGCAAGGTAAGCAGGGCAGCATTGGAATAAGTATTGTACAGGTAATTTTCAAGGAGCAATCAAGTACTACAAAAAAGTAAAGTCACTGGTAGAATAGTAGACACACGATTCCATATTCAGTGCCAAGGATATTACTAAGTGAATGTCACCTCTTGGGTGAAAACAGAAAAGGATTAGATTTAGTTGGTATATTATAGATCCTGTGGATCTTTTTTAAGCTTTATCTAGCATCCTACCCATATTGTGTCATACAGTTTTCACCTTCCACTCATTAGAATTTCTTTTACAGCTGCAACTGGGTAGGCTACTCTTTCTCTTTTAACTGCAGTGTAGAGCATTCCATGCTTTCAAGCCAAACTAGCTGTATTACACTGGCAAGTCAAGAGATCTTTCCTACACCCTTGCAGATGTAAAAAGCTGCGGAAAATAGATTTTCAGATTCAGAAGATACTTAACATCCAGCACTATTAACACTTTATCTTTCTTTGCTAAGTCTTCAATGATAGGGCTTGTTACACAGATATAATCTCAGAGTCTCTACATATATACACAGGAATCAGATATAAGCAAAATGAGAATTAAGAACCAGGATATATTTGGAAGATAGAAGAACCCATACCGGCAGACAAAGGGGTGGATGTGCTTCACAGGGGAAAGCAAGAACCAGGATAGCTAGTGTTAAGGGCAATTACTTCAAGCTACAGGGAGGAGGATTAAGCAAGATCCAAGAGGTGTGGTTGTCAGCGGACTCCAATTTCTGTAAACAATGTCATTACAAAGATGCCTTTTTATTAACAGCAGAAGATACTCCAGAGATGATGTCAGAAATGGCAAGATTCAGATAGGAGATTTATCTTAGAAACAAAATGGAATGCAAAAAGAGCTTACTAAAGAATGGGACAGGGAAAGGCATTTCTTAGTTTACTGAACAATTGCTTCTTGAAACAACCAGTTCTAAATTTCAAGAGACCAGACCAAAATCAGCAAGAAGCTTGTCCTATGTCAGAGGGACAGACTAAGATGGGAGAGAGAACAGGTCAGTATCTTCTGACCTATTCGTACCACTGCCATGTAAAACACAATGTGACTTATAAGAACAGTCCTAACCACTGAGAATTACTCACCATAAAACAGCTTTCAAAGATATATAATATACATTGTAACATCTCCATATATGCTCAGAGCACTTCTTTCCCTAAACTTCACTATCATCAGCTCATCTCCAAAAACAATATACATGAATAAAAACAAAGGCATCCTTCTAAACACTCTCACTGCCAAGATTTCCAGGAATTTTTCCAAGATTGTTTACAGCGGATGCGTGAGAATACACATGGTACAGGCTTTCAAGAACATAACAAGACAAACTAGAGAAGTGTATGTTCCCATTATTCACTTCAACAAAAATCCAATTAAACTGAAAAGCAATAGGAATGATTTACTACTACTATATTCTAAAAACAGTACCATACAATTGACCTGAATTGAAATTCACGGATATAAGCAAAGGCAGGGCTGTACAATTCTTCAGGAAGCCTCAAGCAGATAAACAGACAGCTATGTAGATGTGTAAGTTTGGGTTTTTTCTAAGTGCTATTGCCATCATTCTTTCCAACAGTAGGTAGCTACTGACTGATCAGGATTAGAAAGACACTTGTTCAGACAATAGTTATTTCACAATATAACCATGATAAGATTTCTTACATCTTTCTCTGAAGCTCATCCTCCACTCACCTTGCTCTGACGTATGAACACCTGCCTGGTACCCAACAGTAGTTCCAAAGTTCCTACCAATGCCCTTACAACGCTGTGCTAACACACCTCACTTAAAGCCCCTATTACTGTATCAGGTATTGATTCCACCCAAAGCCAAGACAACATCACACTCTAAGCATCTAAGATGTTCAGTGCAATTTGGGACTGCGTGTGTTCCAGAAATAAAAAAAGAAAACCAGCTCCCTACAGACTTTTGAGCTCCCAAGGCAAATACTCTATGCAGCCAACTCTCAATTATTGGTTAGACATAGCATAAGGAGAAACATTTCTGCATCTATACCGTAGGTCTCAGTGGTGATCCGGCGCTGTGCATATGTGGCTAGCCCCTCACTCAGCCACATCTCCTCCCATGTAGCATTGGTGACTGCATTTCCAAACCAGCTGTGGGCAACTTCATGAATGACGTCAATGATCAAAAACTCATCGCTCTCCAGAATGGAAGAGATGATGAAGGTCAGGCATGGGTTTTCCATGGCAACAATAGGGAAGGATGGAGGAAGAAAAACAATGTCGTATCTAAAATTAGGGAGAGAGAAGAAGGAAGAGAGGAGAAAGGAGACAGGTAAATTACAGCTATTTCATAAGACACATAGTAACTTTTTTTTTCTTTAGAAAAGGCTCTTCTGAGACTTTTTTGTGGCTTCAGGAACAAACTTTCTAGAGCAGTGGTGCCTTATTCTTCTGATCAGGGGATCACAGAGCTTATTCTGTTGGCCAAGGACCTGTGCACTAGACAGGCTTTTCATGTGCAGCACATCCAGCACTTCCCCGAAGCATCACGCTCCCGTCACACACACAAACTCATCACAAGTTGTATATCTAAGAGCCAGAACCACTAAGTTTACTCTACAAACACTACCACATACACAGTGTCGAGACCCCAGAGGCTCCCAGGAAAGAGACACACTGGGAAGCTATCAAATAAATTAATTGATTTGGTGTACCTGCAGTGTCAGCAAAATGACTCTGGTCTGTCTGCTTCAGAACATAACAATACTGTTTGTTTTGTTTTCTAAATTTCTCCAACAATGATCAGTACTAGCACACTGGGCTGTGTTCTCAGATTATTTCAAGCAACATTTTGTACGTTAACACCACCACCACATTCTTCCTGCTTACCTTTAGCAAAGAAATATAGCACGCCTTTGTAAACATTTTCTCCTATCCAAACAATGAAAGCATTCTCTCAAAACATTTTCTTTTAATACATAGACAAGCTTAACTTCAGAAACTATTAATGATGGGTTTAGAGACTAGGACTCTCAATGAGTCTGTACTGAATCAGGTTTTCAGCACCCTCAGACATACCACAATAAAAATACCGTATGTCAAGTACCACATGTAAAAATAAGTAAGATGGATAAATAAAACTGCCATACATTTTAAATGGTGTCTGGCCCAATGTTGGACTTGCATCACAAAACACTACAGTATGAAAAACCTTCACTCCTCAGAGAAGATCCACTGTCTAGAAACCTCCAGTTCTGCCCACCACACCAGGCAAAACACCACTGTGCCTCCATGGTCTTCTCTGCCACTTGCAGAGACAGAACTCCAGAGTTTGCTTCCAACTACTACAGTGCTGCCAGCTGAGAGGCTCATTTGTCCTGCTATTGCTAGCATAGGGAGAAAGCAGGATGATTTCTCAAGATTGTTTTATTTTGTTCCCACTACACATTCCTGGGAGACTTATTAAACTCACCTTCCCCATATATATGGGCCATACAGACTCTCTGCAGCAGTCAACCAGCGCTCAACAATGCCAGAAAGCTTGCTGATGGCTGTTGGCAGCAGGCAAGGCTCTGCCCACACTCTGCTCCTGTCAGAAAACAGAAAACATCAGGTGATACTTCAGCAAACTGAATTATCTCTTAAAAAAAAAAAAATAGCCTGACTTCTCACCACATTTCCATGTATGGTAATAGTGCTAAGAGGTCTCACAACAGACTCAGGCCTTCTTTAGGCTAACACTCTATGGATACATGGCAAGAGATAATCAAAGATCCCTTAAATAAGGCAATGAGACAAGTAGCTGTGATGACTACAGGGGACAATAGCAACATTTATGAAAGAATAAAATATCTTTGCCAGTGCAGTGCCATGAATTTCTTTACACGCAACTAAACCTCAAATTCTCTGAATGCTCACAGCACATGGTCCCAACTGTTCCTTTATCAATGACTCAACGTATTTTCTACTTACAACATGAAGCACTGTAGAGAGACACAAAAAGCAGAACCAACTCACTGCAAATCTTACCTTGGACCTATGTCTGCATGTATAAGGTCTCCTGCCACCAGGGCCACTAGGTAGGCAGGAACTGGATATTCCATATAAAATTGATATACACCTTCCTCTTCTAAATAGGTACTTTGGGTGGCACTCATCAACACCTGTATGCCTGCTGGAGCCTGGAAGACCAACACACTAGATGATCACAGCTGAATTACTACACCACTGATCTCTCTGGTTTTGTTCATCTATGCTTGAGGATGTACATTAAAATCAATCATTTAGATAACACAAAATTTAAGATTTCTGTGAGGTTTGTATACCATAATCTACCCAGTCCGTGAAAACATACCAACCAAAAACATTACTCCTCCTATATTGCATGGGTTTTTATGCCAGCTGCCCCAAAAGTGCCCACATATCAAATTATTCACCTACACAAAATGCAAAATTATTTGATGCTGCTTTCATAAAACTTTGGTTTTTTCCTTTCAAGAACTGATAAAATACAGTTGAGTATTATCATCAATAACCACTACTGGAAGTGACCAGCCAAATTCTCTCTCTCTTTTGTGTTATCCATTTCATGGTTACCCTTTCAGTGTTGAGTACAGGTAAGGCAAGAGCCAAGTGTGATCAGTAACAGAGCTGCCTTTGGGACAGTGCCCTGATTCTGGCCCAAGAACCAGAATGGGATCTAAAAACTCCAGTATTTTTTATAACGCTGTCACAATTAATATTTAATATCATATGTACATACACAATGTAACTATGCTTTCACAAGTTAACAGCAGCTCAGTGCTCCATGATCCATTTATAGCCATTCGGTCACTTACCTTGACAGTAGCTGAATAGGTACATTTCACTGCTGGTGTGTCAAAGCAGGGGAAGAAAGACCGATTACACACTGAGTGGCCCTGCGTGAAGACAAATGGCTTGGCATTGCCATACGTCAGTTCTGGATCCAGCCACCAGATCTGTTGAAACATGATGTGAAGAAGAGGTGAGGGAAAAGGACAAAACCACAAGGATGAACTGCCAAAAACCAAAACCTGAAATCAAGAGGATTGTGGAGGAGAAGGAACACCTCAGCTGCTTGGCTCCCCAGATGAATACCTGGCACAGGGCACATTTTCATTTCTAACAATACATCTTCCTACTCCTGTTTATTTGCCATGACTACTCGGAGTAATTCCTTACTGTCTGAACACTAAGTGGTGCCACACAACATAGTGTCTTCCAGCCACTCACTATTTTTGTGGTATCCATTTGCCTGGTTAAAAACAACTCCCTAACAAACATCCACGCAACCTTCTTCTCAGAGGGAGTACTCTGAATATCTTCGTGTTTCTAATTCAACATGAACAGGAGTAGTAGGGGTCAGGTAACGCAAGCTGAAAAAAAAACCCAAACCAAACAAACCCAAACTCACAAACCAAAAAACCCTGAGGCTGAACAGCGTACACAACCTTATCTCTGACCCTGACACTGCCCTGCTGGCTGAAGCATCAAACATTTTGACACTATGCAAAAAAGTCAGTATATGTAAGAAACATCTGGTCAATGACACTAGAGGCCTCTTTTTACAGAGCGAATAAGGAGATTCTGGGTGGTCACACAAAAAAAAAAACAACAAAAACACACCAAACCAAAAAACCCCACACCACTGAGCATGTCAATTTTCAGTATCAAACAGCAAATAAATCATGAATCAGACCCTCAGCAAATAATTAGAACAGATTAAGAATAATATGAAAAATTGCGGTTATTTGCCTTTTTGGTTTTCTGTTTCAAATGCAATGTTTATGCTTTCACATGCTCCCTGCCTCCAACTTTGGAACGTAAGAGCAATTTTAAATAAGGATTTTCTTGTAATCCTAGAACTCTGGAGCTGAACTTTTATGGAAAATATCAAATATTGTGAAACTTGCAATAAAGTTAGAACCACTGGAAGTCTTGGGAACAGTCAAGCGCAAGGAATAAAACTTCTGAGTCTGCTGAATTCTTAGATCAAAGCAACCAATAAATCTGAATTCAGGGAATAGCAGTTAGTGCAGACACTAGTTCATTTCTGGTCCTCAAGAGAAAGCAATGAAATACTTACAGAAGAGAAGCCTGGGTACTATGTCTGCTCTCATTTTAACAACATACTACAATTCTGTCTCCTAGTTAACCTCTGTGTTCTGGAAGTCAAAGTTTTCTCTCTCCCCCTCTGTCCTATAAGGTTACTTCTTGTTATCTTCTTCCCTTGCCTTCAGACCCTTTTCCTCCGATGTCAGTGTGCTCCACTCCCAAATCATTCACTTCAGCAGTACCTCTGGAGATCAGTGAAAGTTAAGGAAAGGAAACACACTGTCAGCAGCTTTCAGTTATTCGTATGAGGTTCACGCTTCCACTGGCAAATGCAGTTTTTTCTAGGTGGGAGGCATTACAAAATTAAAAACCTTTATCTAGAAGTAAAATTAATCTCAGAGCAGCATACTTATCTTGAAATTTGTTTTAAGAGTACCCTCTTCTGTTTCAAGTCTGTTGGGCCAGAAGCATGCTTAAAGCATGACTTCTGATGAACCTTGCCTCACTTGCACCACGAGGGCTAAGGCTATGCGACTCTTCAAATCCACATGCTGCATTTCAGCATGCCACTGGCCAAATCCCTAGGTCACAGCCGAGGTGCACTACACAGCTACAGATTTTCACTCCATGGATACCTGCATTTCACAGCAATGAATATCGTCTCTGAGATGTGACATTGTGGAACTGGAGTCAACTATTCCAGAAGGCATTTGGGGACACAGGTCTCATTAAAACCCACAGTTTGAAACTAAGAGCTTCTGCCCAGAACACACATTCACATAAAAATGCAAGTGCTATGTTTTAATCCAGGGTAGTAGTTTTCTAATGATCCAGGAAGGAGGCTCAGAAGTTAAGTTTTTCAAGATCTGCCCCAATGCCAACTTTTAAAAACACTCCTCTGATCAGTGGCTTTGTGCTTGTATCACAAAAAGTCTGACTTACAATCCATATCATTGGCCTTGCTGAAGAGGCTCACCTTCAAAAAGTTCTGTTTCCTTTGCTTTTTGAGAGACAGAAAAGGCTAACAAAGAAAACAGAGATATAAGACACTACCAGACCTCAGTTGCAACACTAGAGTAGGAAGGAAAAAGGGTTGACAGATGATGTCTTTAGAGCAGAGAGATAAGGGGAAGTTCTCCCTGACCAGAGCAGGAAGAAAACATAAGCAGGAAGCAAAGGGGAACTGAGAAGCTGATTCTTGTTTACAAGAAACTCCATAAATTAAGGACAATTTCTTTTCAACCAGTTCCCCTTTATTTGACATTTGGTTGAAGTTAAATGAAGCACCAGCCCCACAGGCCAAGAGGGAAAATATTTGCAGAGGATGAAGTATTTTTTTCCCCTGTTTCCTAATGTCTGCAGCTACATGGCAAGCCTCTGTCTCTCTTTCCAGATGCACTTGGAACAATGATGAAAGTTATCCTGAAACAATATAAATAGATCTGTAATATAAATAGACCAGGCTATGCTGCCGGACAGAGGCAGGACTATGGACTGGGGAAAACGAGTATAAGCAGCATCCCAGAAAGGAGTGCAAGGAGCAGGGTACTGCTGGGGACAGGGAGGTGGAGCAGTACACAGGGACAGAGCAGTATTTGGGGCCATATCATCTACTCTACATCCAAATCCCTCCTGTGCTCCCCTTCAGAAATATACGTGACTCGTCAAATGCTCATCATTCTTATCTAGTTTTTCAAGTATACAGGTGAGCTGTTTCACACATTAAAGCTGTTCTACAATGCATTTCAAGTAAAAAAACCTGCTGCTTGGCTCCTCTGCTGAAGAGAGGCTTTGGGCAGTCCAGGTTCCCCCTGCCCACATACTGCAAAGAAGCTCACATTTTATAAGGCACCTGCCAAAAACATATTTTTTATTGACTTAGATTACAATCTTTTACCCAAATCTGGCAAATGACAATGGCAATTAGCTAAGCCTCTTTCAATTTTAAATCTCTCCATGTTTCTACCTGCATTATTGATGAAGCTCCCGAGAAGAGCTGCAACGCCACAGCTTCCGTTCTAGACAAACAACAAGCCGCTCCATCTGATGACAAAGTAAACTGCACATCTGAGATGCGAAGGATGTGACAAGAGCAAAGCACACCAGGACAAGTCACTCTAGGAGGACTGAGGAATCAGGACAAATCTAATGGAACAACAGGGAAGTTCCCAGCACTGCAAAAAGGGCTGTCCTTTTTGCTGAATCCTGAAAATTAAGAAATGCTATAATTTTTTATACCAGAACATAGAGTGGGGTTTGCATTTAAGGTTGTCATGGAAAGAAAATAGCACTGGCGTTAACATGTGTGCTGCCAAATCAGAGGTGTGACACAGTGGGCAAGAGACAGATGTAGATTTTTCTCTCTAGGGAAGGGGAAAAAAAAAAATCTTATGAACGAGTATTTGTAGGACCAAGAAGTAAGGGGTGAGGGAAAAGAAGGGGAGGAAGAGCACTGTCACTGACACATCTGATCAGCGTGTGCCTTCAGCCCACACCATGAGAGACACACAATATTTATGACAGTCTTGCTTCTGATGCAAACTGGTGATGTACCGAGCATATGGTTTCCTAACAGCGCAGGGAGCTGGAATGCCCTGTGAAAGGCAGATTTAATCTCTCAGCTGTCCCTCAATGTCCATCAAACAACCAAAGATCTTGGCTCCTTCCTCCACAGGAGAAATAATGGGACAGTCAAATAACATATCCAGATGGCTCAAACCAAGTATATCAAGACAACAGGTTTCCAATTTTAAACAGACTACTATCTCCAGTGCTGATCTTACTGCCAACACGTCCATGCAGCACTGTAACAGGAATTTACTGTTTTATAGGTCCCACAAGTATGCTAAGGGTCCCATAGAAAATAAACCCTGACCTAAAAAGATTACATTTAGAGAAAGGTCAAAGAAAACAGAACTTCTAGAAGACAGAGGTCTAACACTGTAAAGTTTGTTCGCTTGCGCAGAGAAAAGGTACTGTGAGGAAATGTACTAGACACGAGTATAGACACAAGTATAAACCAGTTCACCCTTATACACATATGGGTTACTCATCCCTATTAAAATGCAACACTAGGCTGAAAAACAGCAATGACAGATAGCACTACAATAGCACGAAATGACTTTGGATCCAAAAAAAATAGTTCAGCGTGCGAACATGAAGAGCTAGAACAGGTGCTACTCGAGGACAAATATTTTGCCAGCCAAAATCTACAATAGTGAGCGAGGAAACGTGGTACGATTTATGTCAGCGAGCACGCCTGCTTCTACTTTTCAGTATCACTTGAAAAGGGCAGTGCATGCCCCTGACACTGTAACCATCAATAATCTTTTGACGCTAGTCCCTGTAGCTTCATTTCAACTGAAGCAGTACACGCCATTAAAGGTACAGTAAAGGCTTCAAAAGACAGGATGAAGAAAAGCTAGTTCACGTCTGATCCAGGGGAAGCAAGACAAACAACAGAGGGAATGGAAAAAATGCCCTACTCGGCATCCTCAAGTATGTAACATTCACCCTGGATTGTGTGCAAGGCCAAGGAGGCAACGTGTTAACGCAAGGTGAGACTAATGAAGATCACATCAATCAGTGCCCTGCGCCTTCCAGCGGTTTTCAGATCATTTCTAAAGCCGAGTCTCAGATCAGTATTCCATTACATCTGAGATCATTTCTCCATAAACACAGCAGGACAGTCTGCCCCTTCAGCAACAGGGCTGGCAAAACCCAGCAGAAAGCACAGGCTAGCCTAAAATAAAACAATTTATTCGAGAGGAGTAAAGTATGCTACCGTGTACTTTGAGAGGTATGGCTCAGCCAGACTGAGAATGATTATAGAGCACGGAGCAACACCAAATTAGCTTTCAAGCCTTCCCACCATAGAGTAGACGAAAGAGGTTTCTCCATAGAATCTTGAAAAAAC